AAAAAAAATTTAAATTAAAAAAAAAAAAAAAAAAAAAAAAAAAAAAAAGTCTACAGGGAGTTTCAGATTTCTTTTGTCTTCTGTTTTGTTTCTGGAAAATGCTTCTACCTCTTCAAAACATTTCTATGCTCTGGGCCTGATTTCAATTCCACAACAATATCAGAACTACCACATGGGCTGAGTGGCTATTTTATGGTGGCCCACAACTGCTGGACAAGGCCAGTCTGCAAAGCAAGGAGCCATCTGTAACTTATCAGGACCACACAGCAAGTCGGTAGCAAAGAGTGGATGAGAACGCCAGGGCTCCCAGCTGAGCTCTACCTCGGGCCCGGCCGGAGCTGGCTGTTCCTCACTCAAACTAGCCTCGCGTGTGTGCGGCCAGCAGATGAAAAGACAAAGCATTGGGATTGTGGCCTTACTGTACGTAAGCCTTACGGGCCCCCTGCTTTCAAATCGTGCCCAGTGTCTCATGATCAAAGGCAGCCGACCCCATCCTCCCCGTTCTCCATGCCTGAAGCCTCTGGCTACTAAGCTGGAGGACTTAATATGTATGTGATCTATGTCCTCTATCTGCGTCACAGGGGCCACCACAGTTGGAGTTTCTGAGGATGGCTAACATTGGTGATCACTACAGATCACCTCCCCACCCCCCAAATCAGTGACTATCTCAATAAATTACTAAAAACAAGCGACTAGGATCTAGGCCATTACCACAAAATTTGTCCCCAAACAGAGACACCGTAGTCACTTGAGAACCCACTAAAAATGACAATTCTCAGCCCTGTCTTTGGTTCTACTGAACCACATTTCCTTAGGTTGGAGTCTTGAACCTGACACATGCTTAAGTTTGAGAAGTCAGCTCTGGCTTACTGGGGCTCTGTGCCTTGGTTTCTCCGGTTGTAAAATCGAGTTAATACTACCAAGAGGATTTAGATCGCATTAGGAAGGATTCAATGAATGAACCAGAGAGCATCAGTGCCTGCCCCGTGGTAGGTCTTCAGTAAACATTAGCCACTGTTTGTTGTTTCCCTTAGGGACCAACAGTGACAATGGACAAATTAGGGAATGATCTGATTTCATGATCATGTAGAGAAAAGTAGCTCTAATCCAAAGTGTCGCTGGACTGTTGCTGAACGTTGCTGCTGTTTTTCTTTAAGAGCTTACCTTGCTGTTGGAAGCCAGACCCTCCCTGTAAGGTTTGGATAAGTCGCTAGCCAAAGCACAAAGACACTAGTATGTGACCACTGGAGTCACCATAGTACGTGGTCCTGGAATAGAGGTGGGTTTCATTTTTGGCACGACAGCTCAGGGGTTTGCCCTTTTCCAACCCCCTCTAAGCCCAGGTCTTAGCTTCGGACTCACTCCCCAACTCATCCAGATCAAGCAACAGAGCCTCTGAAACTGCCGACCATGCACAATGATCACGGCCCAGGCTTTAGTAAGCACAAAAGGCTCACAGAGTCAGAGAGCCAAAGTGAGTTCTGCAAACGGGGTTCAGTAAGAACGGTCCGTCCTATGCACCTCCCTAGTCAGCATCTTCATATA